CGGGTAATGATTGGTATGAATACATCCGTCACAACAATACCACCAAAAGTCACACAAACTCTTCATTCAAACTATCGCTAACTCTAAGAAGCGTTCGTTTGGAAGACACGACACTCGCCGATCACATGAGCCAAGTATATGAGCGGTCGTTGCCATCAGTGGTGGAAATCTATCAGAAGTCGGGAATGGGAACCGGCGTTGTTGTGGACGCAGAACTGGGACTCATTGTGACCAACTGTCATGTGGTGCAGGACTGGGAGTTCGGTGGCGTTAAACTCAATCTGGAGGCCAAGCGGTACCAACTTTTTGACGCCTACGCCAGCGATGACAAAGTGGGTGCAGTTCGCGCTCACGTACTCTACTGTCGTCCGGAAGTGGATTTGGCGGTCATCTGTTTGTACACAATTCCCGGCGCTTTACCGGCGCTAAAGCTGTCCAAACGGATGTCTCAACACAAGTCATAGACTGGATCTATTGGAATGATAGCAGCGGTAGATCGGGTGGAGAGCCACACATCACAGGGAAGTCACGCCTACTTCCAAGTGATGCTAAATCCGGACCACAAACACATCCAACACTCGGCGACTCGTTGTCGACACCAGCGGTCGACTGATTGGCATTTCGCTCAACACTTTCATCAGAAGTGATGGCATTTTCTTCGCCGCAGATATCATTGGTTTGTCATTAAATTATTGCAATTAATTAATTAGTATTTAAAATAACGTAAATTATTGTTTAATTTTGGATTAGCTTTCGTGAAGAGGGGCTCAGAGTTTGAGACCAGAGATCGTGATATGAAGTACTCGTTTGCGAACCGGAAATCACTGGGAGTTGTGTTGTATAAGGATATGAACGCCAGTAATAAAGTGTTCAAAGTTTGCAAATTTACACCTTTTAATGCATTCAATAATTTAGAGTACGTTTAAGTATAGCATATATTCATTTAAAATTCAATTATATTTTAATTAATTTTGTTGTTTTTATTGTTTTCAATTAAAATCTCAAGAAATAGACTTCAAATGAATGATCACATAATGAAAATCAATGGCAAACCTTTTTACAAACTCTATCAATTGACTGATGCTATCGATGCCCACAAACCAAATGATAAGTTAATACTAACTGTTTATAGGAATAAACAATACAAAGACATTGATATCACTCCACAACTGATCCACTGTTATGTCGCCTAATATTATAGTTTTTGTAACAATACTTTTTAAGCACACATTTATATGTGATTTATAAATGATTTAAAATAAATATAAACTGCATTTTAATTGTTTGATCATTCAATTGATTTATGAAACGTTTAATTTATTGGATAACAATTTACAATTGAATTATTCGTTAAAATATTGTCACTATTTAATAGTTATAATAAATAGAGATATAATTGTATTATGGATTCGCTTCTCGATCAACATTTCCCACTTCCAGTGGTCGACGACGGGATATCAGAAACACATACAATAACTGTTAAAAAATTGATTACTTTGAAATAAGTGATCAAATTGTTTGTCTGTTTATTTCAAAACCTGTTAAGAAGATGATTAAAATTGAAAAACAATTACATGACGTTAACATTGGTATCGGTCGCGACTGGGCTAACATTGTATTCCGCGCTTATCGCCGCCAACAGAGATTACAGTAAGTATTATATTGATATTAAATGTATAATCAGTTAACAAACAATTATATTATTGTTTTAATCAATAGAAATAATCCAAACGTTGTCTTAAACGATGATAGCAATGAACCCAACGTTACAATAACTATATGGAGACACGATTTGAATTATCTCATCCGACACGTTATCGTAGGGATCGACGACAAAGCAGTCGAGCAAATGGACCCCAAATATAGGGATAAAGTGAAGGCACGGCTCAATACTGGGTATATTGAGGGCAAGAAATGGTTCTTGAAAAAACCAGCAAATGTTTAAATTAAATGTTTACATTCAATATCAATATTTAGTTTTATTAAATCATTAGTTTCTATACAATTAAATACAATTTTTTGTTTTAATAAAAAATATCAAATCTATTCATTAATTAATATTCAAATATAAACACAATATTTATATGTAATAACTAATATCTAAACACAACGTGTTTTACTTTTGGATATTTTGTCCAAATCACTATCGATTATATGTATAACAAGTCGTATACCGGAAACCAACCAAAATTCCACATATTTCCCACACCTAAGCATCTGTACGGCTCGATCCATGTCCTCCACCTTCTGGACGGCCACACCATTGATATGTGTTATCACATCAAACCTCTCCAGATCTGGACTATAAATAACAATTTTTAAAAATTATTCTCTGTTTTACTCATTTATAATATACGGCGTTATAGAGTCAGGAAATGAGTGACACCACCAATCATGACAGTAATGGGTGCGCATTCACACACCTGGCCGTCAAACGCGGCACAGATTATCATTATTTACATTATTTTCATAAACTCCGGTGTCATGTCATAGACAAACCCCGATTTACAACCCAGTTTTAGGTTTCACATACACTGTACACATATATTCATACATATAAAACACATCATTCAACTTGACTCGTTAATTGAGACCGTTAGTGCGGCACAACTCGACGACTGGCCACTGGTTTACGGTGTCATCCCTGTCGTCCAACATCAGTATTTTGAACCCAAACTCGTCGATTGTCATCACGAGATATGCGTAAAACACTCGGCCGTCTCCCAGACGGACGTGGAATCGGGTGTCCGGCGGAAACAAATCCCGAATACAGGTCAACCCAATACCCTTGCGATGGCATATGAAACCCGACGACACGTATACGACATACAAGTAGCGTTGCCAGAAATATTTTGGCATTTCCTGGAAATTTTGACAATTTTGGGCAAATTTCCTGGATTTTCCTGGATTCGAGTTTGTAATTATTGCAAAAATACATTTTTTATCGAATTTTGTAATATAACTTCTGTTTTAAAAGTTTCTACAATGGTTACATATAGTGTAAAATAGTCATATCAGTGTTTATACTATTATTGTTAGCAATATCTATAAATTTCATTGAAAACACACTAGACCATATTTATTTTTATACTAATACCATTTTTACAGCTCATTTATCCAAAATTTACTTCCTGGATTTTTCAATATCCAGGAATGACCCCTCCCTGGACTCTGCAAAAATTGTTCATTTCCTGAATAATCCAGGACATTCCTGGAAGTCTGGGAACGCTACATACAAGTCAGTGTCGGACTCACACTCCGACTAACGATTAGATCGTTTGATTGACACAAACGGCGCGAACCACTCGTAACTAAAATGTTTGGGTTTTGCCATCATTTGAACGTTTCTAAGCATAGAGTGACCATTGGATTCAATGTTTGCATCAATTGTAGTGATTGTCCATTTCTTAGGTAATATTAAATTAAGTAATTGGTGGCTATCATTACAACACTTATGGGATACAAAAAATAGTATAATAAATAATATTTTATTAAATTAGTTTTTATTTTTTAATGTAAAACTTTTTATATTAAAACTAATCAATTGATTTATGTATTCATTGTTTTCAATAAAATTCAAGTGAAAGATTGTTTAAATAAACTTTCTGTTATAAACATAATTATAATCAGTTAAATTTTCAATAGTTTGAATTAATACTAGTATAATTTAATTTATTAATAAATTTTTTACTTTCTATTAATATAAATGAATTAATAATAATTATTATTTTGTGTAATTTCTTGTAATTGAATTATTTAAAACAATACTTCTACTACTACTGTATTAATATTGTAAACATTTAAATCTAATTATTAAAGTCTAATACATAGAAACAACTCATATGTTTGATAAAAATCAAAATTTGTTAATATTTGTATATTTGTTATATATTGGTGTAAAATAAAATGAAAACATTGTAATAAATGCCAAAACAAAACGATTGAATTAAATAAAATCAATGCAATTATGATGAATAAATTTGACACATTACATTTGCTTCAAATTGTAATTACAAACTTTACAACATTTTGTTATAAAGTTATATAGCCGCTTAATAATTATATTTCCAAATAATGATATGGTTAATTGAAAATCGCAATCAATTAAGTATGCTTAACTCCAACTTTAAATTATAATTTATATATGTATTAAATTAGAAATAAAAATATTCATAAAAATAGAAATAAAATAATAAAGAAATGAATTGTTTAAGAATGGGTTCGTTGTTTCGAGTATTGTTAAATAGCCATTGATTTTAATATAGTTTGCGATAACTTTACCACTTTGTTCCCGCCATTGAATTCAAAGACAACATTTTTACCCCGTTTTAAGTCGTCGACCGCCCGATACAAGTCGTCCATATCGTTGACATCGAGTCTATTGATACGAGTGATCACATCGTATCGATTCAGATGGAAGTGTTTGCGCAACACATCGTTATTGTCGTCGATTACATCCCATAAGACAATCCCTTTGTCGGGCAACTCATCCTCACGTATGTGACGCTTAGCGGCCACACGTTGTCGCACATCAGGGGTCAGCTCATAGAAA